GTTCGTCGTTATATGGGACAAAATAGAACATGCAATTATCACTTAGCCGACATAGATACACAACCCATTTTTATCCCGAAATTGTGAAAAGCAAAATAAATATTTCTTTAAATTGGCAAAACAGAGATCTTATAAAAACTCGTTATTAACATAGAATTTATGTGAAATATTGCCTTTCCTTAAAGGAAATTGCAAATTCTAAAAGTATCTTAAAATTATAGGTTGCTTTACAAACGAAAACCATGGGCCGAGTAAGAGTAAACGAGAGAAATAAAGAGAATAAACGAGTATGTTTAACGTCGGCAAGAAAAAGAACTCTTTTTCGAAAGAAAAAGAACGCCACCAAACAACACCTGCCTGATCAGGATTACGGCCCCAATGCCAACTATCTACCGTTGGATCCTAATAGTGACGAATATAAACAGAAGGCGCTGAATTTCATAAAATCTATTGAGAAGACACCTGATGAAATCAAAAAAATTGAGAGAAATACGTTGGGACAAAAGTCAAATCCGCAGTGGATTCAAGAAAGGCTGGTAAAGCTTACCGCTTCGAGTTTTGGGCAAATTTGCAAAATGAGATCCACTACCTCGCCTGTAAATACAATTAAAACATTGCTGTATGGAAACTTTTTTGGCAACAAGGCCACTCGGTATGGTAATGAAAATGAAATAAGGGCTTTATCAGAATTTGAAAAAATTTATAATTTAAAGGTAAATCAGACCGGTTTTTATATTGATCAGACATATCAATTTGTGGGTTCAAGTCCGGGTGGTCTTATAGGGGATCATGCTCTAATTGAAATTAAATGCCCTTTAACTATTAAGGAGCAAACACCAGCTAATGGAATTACCTCAAAAAAAATATATTTTGCCGAACTAATTAATGGCAAACTTCATTTAAAACGGAACCACAATTATTATTTCCAAATTCAGGGCCAATTGGCAATTACAGACCGGCAAATTGGATATTTTTTAATCTGGAGTCCTCATGGTATTCTTGTAGAGGAGGTAAAGTTTTTAATAATATTTTTTATGTTATTGTTATTATTATTATTATTATTATCGAACTGTATTTTTGATATTTAGTAATAACAAAACACTTATATTCAGTTAATGGCAATCCGTTAGAATGATAAAAATAATAGAAATCAACACCTAAATCATGAACTAACCAGTTTTATGCCAGTCATTGAAAATTGCAGACTAACTACCATTAGGTTTAAAAAAAACTATTGAAAATTGTTTAAATCTGAAATAATGACATAAAAATTGTTTTTATTATTCTGAGCGATTCCCAATCACTAAAAAAAATAAACTATAATAGTCATTAAACAAATTTTATCTTATCCTAATCATAATTTAATTTCCTTTTTCTTGTGGATCACACGGGATGACGTATTTTGGAAGGAAAAAATGCTTCCAAAGTTAAAACTATTTTATAATAATTATTTATTGCCTGAAATAGTAGATCCGATACATCCGAAGGGGCTACCTATTCGGAATAAGGTCGAAACACCTTTATTTATTTAGATTAAATTATGTTTTAATTTTTAAAATAGAATTATAATATTTTACATAAAAAGACATGTTATTTTAAATACCATATTTCATTATGAATAATAAAAAAATTATATTTTTAACTAATTAGTACTTAGTACAACACAGATATACATTTTTTTGTTAAAATTTTACAATTCTGTAACATTGAAAGTAAAACGTGAAATTAACTGATTAAAACTAGAGATCCCCAAGAAAATGGTATTAACTAAGTAGGTACCGAGAAAAATACCTATCTAATTTAAAATTTATTTATATTAATATTTTCGCCACTTTACCACATATTGATTTGGTTAATACTACTCTAATTTCCCGTCACACCAATAAAAACGCCTTAAAAACGTTTACGCTTTATTGATTACAAACAAACAATCCGTTATCCCACGAGAAAAAAATAATAAACCCGGTCCTGTTACCATTCTGATTCATAATTATATATTTCATACTTTGTTCCTTTGTCGCTTTTCCAAATTCTGTAATAGTGCCAAACAAGTAATATACCTATGTGCGAAAACCATATTTTGCGAAGGTCAAATGCGCTCGACCGATGACACTGTTGCCGTACTCCACAAATCGCGCCTCTCTGCGAATGCTAGGCGCAAATCCCAAATTCGACCACGCGGTCCAGTACAGAGTGCTCTTAAGATCAACACGGATTTGGAAGTGAGCAAATACGGCTTGTTCCCAAACAAATCCGTGCGTGGTTCATTGTCTGGAGTAGTGATGAGCGATATTTCACGATCTGTGATTTAATTACTGATACCAACAAATATCAAGTCGTTCCCGTTACCAACTTGTGAAAAAAGTCGTGAAGTGATCACGCTCACACACAGTATTGGTTTCTTATTTCGTACTTAAACCTTTTAGGCTTTTTCAATACCGGTATTACCTTCAGTCACGTCGTTAAGTCGAGTTTTGCTTCAAATCATTTAAAATATGATAGGTAGCAGACGATTCCTTGACTTATCGACAAACGTATGCTAATAAGGTCGATTTTCGAAAATCTCAATTGTAATAACACGCGTGGCATACGACATCGTGCCTTATTGTCCTTCGTTTGGCTATACTAAATCACGGAAGGATATCATTATGGTTCTTTTTCTTTCATATATTTTTCATTATTTGGTATCTACAACGCGACTTGTTATCAAACGCGCGAAATTTAGAGGTCGTGATCACGTCACGCTTTTCAATCACTGATATCAAAAAGTAACAGTAACGATTCACAACGTGATTAAAAAATCACGATATCGTCCATCACTAGTCTGGAGCCTCGATATCAACACGGGTTTGCCTATAAATATTGCATTACTTTCCCGTGTTTATTTAAAGACCGCGTCGGTTTGAATTAAACACGGAAACGTAAAATCGCGTCCCGGCCTAATACATTCGTCTGCATTAGGGGCAACTTAGGAAAATTCACGAATTTTGAATAAAAAATTCGTCAACCTATTTATTTTTGGTAGGTTCATATTAAGCTAGTAAAGCATCAAGTCAAGTTAAATATTGATTTTTTTATTGTATTTAAACGAAAAGTATTCTAATGTGAGATAAAAAATGTTTCTTAAGTAAGCCTCGATCGGCAAAGACATGTATATAATAACTACGAATGCCTCTGAATTAAATCTAAACTGTAAAAATAAGAATTCAAAGCTCCAACATAAGTGATTTTTTCCATGCTCTATTTTTGAAACATTTTTTGGCGATCACTCCATATATGTCGCTTAGTTACTTTTCTAAATCGGGTTTGACCATGGAAGGTTAACAAATTTTAGTCTCAGTTGAAATATAGATAAGTAACTAACAATTATTTCCGGTTATCCCATTGGTAAATTTTAAATTAAGCATCTAAATTGACAGTTAGATCCCGTCATCCCATTTTCAATTCAAGGAATAGTTCTTGCTGACCAATTGTGTTACAGATCCATCAGAGAAAGATAGAAAACGATAGAAAAGACGTGGCCAAACAGTGCCGTCTCTTTAGGGAGTTTGGGGTGAGTACGATTTGTTTGGATTTTGTTGTGGAAATTTTGTGGTAGATATATATATTTTTTTTGTGTAATCTGTTGTAACAATTCACAAAAATGGTTGTTAAATATGTGTTGCTTGTAGTATAAAGTACTTTAAAGGCTGTTCACAGGTAGGTAAGTAGTGCTTATATATCATTAAATTTTTTTTATAAAACAGGATTTTTTTTCTCCATCGATTCGCATTGAAAATTTTATGAAAATAAAATGTTTACCTCCGCCAAAACTCGTTAAAAGTTTGTACAAGCGCCATCTAAACAGGTTTATTGTTGATGATTTGGTACAAGCGCCAGTCGCCCATAAACAACACATGGAGCAAGATCGTCGTATTTTTGTGTAATATTTATATTATTGCAAGGTAAGAGTAAAAAACTAAAATACATCATATTAATCTTAGGATGTGGTTTGTAATAATAATTGTATAAAAGTAAGAGAACATTCCTAAAAATCAGATAAAAGAATAGGCGCTTATGCCAATACATCTCACAAATTTTAAGTTTGGCACAAACGCCATTTGTGTGTAACGTAAATTTATTTTCTTGTTATCTTATTTTTTATAATATGATTGCTTAAAGCATTTTTAAACTTTTATTAAGAATTGCTAGTGCAAATATTTAAAAATATTTAATTTTAAAAAATATGTTAGGGAAAGAGATAAAAAAGCATTTGAAAGTTGGCGTTTGTGCCATTCATATACTTTTACTTTGTAGATGGCACCTAATAGAAGTAAGTTGATGGTCCCAATGGCCCAAATACAAGCAGCTAAAGATTGTAGTTTGCTAGTGGAAGAAGCGTTAAAATATGACATTTAACTTCTAGAAAACTATTTTTGATTGATTGATCTAGAAGAAGAGGAAGAAGTAATCGTGAAAGTAAATGAAAACAGTGGAATTTTACATAATTTTACACGTAAAGAAGAAAACGAAGAACATATAGAAGAGATCGAAGAAAAAAAAAAGATAAAAAACAATTATATGGAAGAGGGAAAAAACAATGAAAATATATACGAAAACAATGACCAGCATATAGGAGAGAACAAAGAAATGAAAATACAAAAATAAAAATAGGAAATATTGATGAATATGATAAAAATGATGATGATGATGAAATTAATGATGAATATTTAAAGGAAACTGATGTTTTGTTTTTATATTATATTTAAAAAAATAATTATTGAGTTTTAACTTCATCCCCTTTAATGGCACAAATACCACTGAATTATAAAAATGAGTAATTAACAATTTGGCATATATCCAGATAAGCGACCTTTCCGTTTAATCTAATTAATTCGACCTTTTTGGAATAAATACTTTTAAGTTGTCATTAACTGGCATAAGCGACAAATTTACAGTTTTTTTAATTTTGTATAAAAATTCTTCTAGAAATATCAAATAAAATTGCAAGAAAAATTAGAAAAACAAATATAGGAAGAACAAGAATGAAATTGTTTCATTTCAAAATTACTACAAAATAATTTATGAAAAAAGATCATAGTGGAGTTTGTGCCGTTTTGTCATGAACGCGACGACTTGATAGAACCACCTATTAATTAAGCCAGTATTAGGAGAAAAGCCTGCTTTCTTCTGCATTCCAGGCTCTGGATTCCACAAAGCAAAGGTATTATATGAATTTATATGTTGCGCTCTTTTAATTCTATTGATATTACAGGTGTAAGTAGGTTGCCAAATAACAAAACAGTATTCCAGGATACTTCTCAGCAGGCCATTGTAAAGTATCATGATTGCTTTTGTATCATTGACGTACCTAGTATGTCTCTTAAAGAAGCCAAGCATTCTGACGGCTCTGCATACTATGGAATATATCCGGTTGTTTAAAGATATTGTGGTACCAAACATAATGCTCAGATCAATAATAGTCTAGTTAACAAGTGCTTTTTGGGTCAAACTTTTTTCTCCATCTCCGAAAAATATGAACGAAGTGTCAGTCCATTCGGACTAGCATGTAGATGATTTTTGAATAAACTCAAGAGCCGCTTGCAAAAATTGCAAAAGTTATAAATAATTAACTGAAAAAAAAAAAGAAATGGGTTTGGTTTTTTGATAATATCTCAAAATCTATTTGACATATTCCAAATTTGAAAAAAGATTCGAAAAGAAGAAGAAATTTTCAAAAAAAAAATGTTCTTCCACCCGGAACTATAGGACTAATGTTTATAATTTTCCCAGAAGGTTGAACATTCTCCGAAAACGGAGACTCTGGTTTGCGTAAGCTTCGCCCACTGTGGAACTTTAATGAATAAATATTATTTAAACCTATTAAATATAAAAATCACGAATTAAAAAAATTCAAGTATCAAGTATGGATGGATGAGTAAACAATAATCCGCTGTCAAAAAATTTTTATCGCTACTTTTCGTCTTTTAAATAATTATAAATTATAAAATAATTAAGATACGATGAAAAAACTTAAGACTTATTTATTCTTTATTAAATAAAGAACAAATTAAGCCCAAACAGTAATTGTTTATAACAAGTTGTTTATTAAATAAATAATGAAAATTTAAATAAAAACATTTTTTTTAGTTATCAAAGAGCAAGATAAATTATTTTTAAAAAATAATGGTTCCTTTATAACCAACTGGTAAAAAAAATTGTTAATTAACAAATCCCTTTTTAAGAAATAAAAATTTTTTTTTAAAACAATTTTTTTTTAAATCATAATTTACATCGAAAAGCATTTTCGGAAATCTACTATAGATTAAAAATCCAGATTACTGGTTTCACTGAACTTAGAGCCGACAGTTTGTGAGCGAGTTGGATTATTGATCCTGTTCATCTACGGCTGTTAATCTTTGACTTTTCTCCCTTATTGGTTAAAAAAACACTTTAACTAAACATGTTTGTAGTCTGATTAATAAAGTCGCAATATGGGCACAAACACCAAAAAATTGCGTTATCCCCTTATAAAATTCTGCGGTGCGCTCGCGGATCTATTACTAATCTACTCGTAGAGTGGGTCACAAAATATTGATCTCGATCATAAAGCTAGATCAGTAATCAACTAGTTTCCGAACACGGATAAGGTTAGTAACCATAGGTAAATGAATAATAGGATCCATAATCTCTCTGATCCGAGTAATTTTCCAAAAAAAAAAATTAAATTATCTTATAAACAACGCATTTGTTTATGACATTTTTTTAAACAATTGGAAATAAAAAAATTTAAAAATAATTTTTATGTGGCTTCTGATGATAAAAAAACGGATTAAATATAATATAAAAAAAATTTTTTTCAATGATATTTACTGTGATTAAAACTTTTATAATCACTGAACATCGTATTTTCCATCTATCTACCGCGGTAAACTAGTAATTTAAAAAATTCAAATAAATTGGAAATTGTAGCCACAAAATCTGTTTTCTTTTACTAAACAAATTTGCCATTGATCGTACGTGCGTTACAATGTAAAATTTATTATTTTAAATACTGGTTGAATCAAATGTTACTAAGATTTAAATATACCTACCTTTCCGAAAATTTTATTATATTATGTCAAAATCACAAAGAAGCACAAGTGGTTTCATCAAGTGATCTAATAACAGGAAAAAGTGGAAATGCTGGAACGTCAAAAAGGTGACTTCTATTGTCGAAAAAAAGTGAAATGTAAGTAACATTCTGAATTATTTTACATTCTACTTAATATATTTAATACATAATTCGAGACTTTGAGTAGGCACGTCATTATACATCTGTATGTATTACTGAAAAAATCAATTATATCAAAATGGACAAAGACTTGTAGCCTTTTTAAAAATAGAATTTTCCGTCCCACCTTCAACAAGGATTGTCTTTAAGATCTTCTGGGTTCTAATTTTTGCGAAAGACTCGTTAGCACCCTCTGATTGTCAATTGTTCTTAAGCAAGAAATATACGATTTAACTTCTCCTTCGCCCTTCGGAGATGGCGGATCTAGAACTAAAAAATAATAAAAGCATTAGTAGATAGTCGAAGCGTGCAGTTGAACAAAAAAAATGTTATATTAAAAATGCGGAAAAAGTTTAAGTAACGCCTAACACAGCTAGCGATATGACCACAACCTGATACGCACAAGCCCGACTGCTATTGGCCAACCCAGTGATCCCGTTTTTATTGTTTCTCTATCCTCTAGCTCAATTTGCTGTGGTCATGAGGCTACTTGTGTTTATGCGTTACTTGCGTTTAAGTTGAAAAGAGTTTAGACAGGTTTTAGTGTCAATAGTTAGATCAGGACGTGGTACGTATTTCGTTCTGTAGGAAATAACAGTACTTTCTACACAGCGTGTTACGCTGAGTGTTTCACGTTATACGCTGCGTAAAAAAACCCTCTGCTAGAAAAACGCGCCTTTGGAGTAAACTGTGTAAATGAATCATAAAAATTTGCCTTATTTGTTTTTCACGTCAGATTTTGATCTAATGGAGGTATAAGAATAATGAGCTAACTCACAATTCACAAAGCTTGGTAAATGTGTAAATGTACCTATATGTAATTTTTGAGTATAAGAATGCGTCAGTACTCGTATATTGAAATAACTTTCATCAACGCTTGTTTAATCGTTTTGTTAATGGCAGTGGCTCCGTCATAAAGGAGAGTGCCATCAGACCCAGGTCATATATGTGCAGCGCTTCCAAGATCAAAACTTTGGTACTGTTTTGCTTGTATTGGAGCATTGTATTTAGAGAAGATAGTAGAACAACCTTATGGACGTTTCATTGGAGGCAATTCTGTCGCGACATCTATTAGAAATTCATCAAAATAGCCCGAACCTAGCACTCCCAAGATCATTGAGTACAGAATTCTATATACATAAAATTTTCTTATTTTTTAAATTCATATGGGTAGAGTACTAAATTTAAATTACTATTATTTATATTCTCTAAAATGATAATAAATCGTAAATAAATGTTCAACAAGCATATTCCATCGTATATCGTATATTCCATTTTTAAAACAAATATTCTGAATCGATTATGGGCCCATCTATTAGTAAATAGAGAAATTACGTTCGTTTTGAAGACGACAAAATTATCAAAGACATGACTTGGACACCACGGAGCTTGCTGCCATCTATTGATACTGTCCATTGTCCTCCAAGATAATTTGCATTGGTATTGTTTTACTAGTTGATCTAAATACAATGATTGGAGTAAAAAATAAACGGCGTTCTTATATGCAGGAAAGAAAAGGATGTGATATCAAAGTTGCGAGTTCAATAGTTTTATTTCTTTTTCGGCATGTGCGAAGCCATTTACTAGCACTGTGTGGTAGTTCATATTTTTTTATTTAATATCATGATCTTCACCCAAGAGTTTTTTTAGGTTGCCAGCAAATTGTTGAATAATTTATTTTACAGTACAAAAACTCGCTACAGGTTACTGATCTCAAACTACTTAAATTTTATATTTCTTTAGTGCTTAATATGATATGTCAAAATTAAGACGGCAATCTACAAATCCTACAAAATATTTTTGAGATATTTGAGACATCAAAAGAGTAAAAGAAACGTCACGAAATGCCTAATTTTCCTAAAAACGGATTGTTAGAAATCTACAACATTTGGGATGTAGAAGTTAAATGACATGCCGATTCCTATTTTATGTACACTGTTGCCAGATTTACTGTTTTTTCAATACCATTGGAGGAAAATTACTTTAAATTTTGTATGCAAAAAAGTTATATTTCTGGTCAGTTTTATACAGTTTAAAAAAATCATTTATTTCTAAAAATCGGCAATCATTATCGGTCAATAATTGTGAGAACGAAGTGAGAACGTGAAAAAAAAAACTACGGGCGAACGCGAAATGAGAGTTTGGGTGAGATCAAAAGGAAGGTCGATGGAGAAAGGAAGTTGAAAAATGGTTTTTTGGTATGGTGGTTTTTATTTTAAATTGTTAAAATAAAAGTGCTAAATTAATTTATTTTCTATTTTTGAAAACATGAAATATTTAATTAAAATTATTTTTATTACAATTTTTATATCGAAGGAAGTTCTGGGTAAAAAACTTTAAGCGATTTTTTACTAAAGGGTTATTTTTCTCCTTATACGGGCCCTCATCAAACTGGATCCAAGAATTAAAAGTAGGTTTTTAAAAATTATAAAACATTGTTGATTTTTTTTCATTATAGGCCTAACTATGGCCTTTGGACCGAAGCCAGTAGCCTCCTTTTATTTGAAACTAAAAAACATTTTGTGGTACTGATTTTCATTATTTTTATTACATATAAAAATAGCCACATTCGAGAAGTTGAATCCTCTATGGTTTATATCTATTGCTATTGCTTAGTTGTATCATTTTTAGCTCTTATTATAAGGTTTGCTTATTGCAGTTTAAACTATTTATAAGAGCATGTAGTGTAGTATTTTTAGCATTCAAGATGCAATATGTTTTGTGTTCATTAAAAATGTAATAAAATACGTATATGGATGCCGTTTTTGTGTCTCTTATTATAATTTTAAGCATGTTTAATTAAAAAGTGTTGTCGTGAACCACCTTAAGCGCACTCTAACTCTTTGCCGTTACAGCAGCCGTTTCGTCTGTTTCTATACCGCAGGACAGGGACAAACGCACTGTCTCGAGAAGCTACCAGGGAAATCGTTGCGTGGCGGCTGAGTCATAGATGAAGAAATTCCAGAGTTTATAGATGGTCGAGGATGTGCTAGTGCAGAGCTGGCTTTATATAAATACCGCGAGTTTGTCGATAGAAGTTAAGTTTCAATGTGTTGCATAGTAAAGATTAATATTTTTTTTAATGTATCAAGATACCATAGAATCAATAGTTGGAAAAAACTTTCTCTGGAATGATAGGAAAACGAGTTTAAT